ACTCTCCGTGCGGCGTTGTCGTCCTACTCAGTAGTCAGTTACGAGCCAACATTTTATTATTATTATTATTATTATTGTTTTTACGAGCCAGCACTGTGTCACAACAATTGGAAATTTGCACGCGTCGTTGATGCTGCGAAGCTTTTTCCCGCCGGCAGGTATTCCGAAGTAGGGCGGGTAATAGCCAGTAGAGATGACTGGGAATTTCCGAATCCTAGGTACTACCAACTAGGCAGGTATTACAAATTTCAAATTACAGGCGATACGGGCTGATAGCTATTTCTCGAAATTTTTTTCGCGGTGAACTAACGAGCTGGGGTGCCCCTCTGTGCTGCGGGTTGCTGGCGAAGGAACCAGCTATGGCACCCAGGTAAGCTGTCCGCACCTCGCAGGTATGGCCACCACCTCTCCCTCACCCCTCCTGGCTCCTACACCTCTACCTCTACCTCTCCAATAGCGCAATGCTGAAAATAGTGGACCGCTCCAACAGCATGTCGCCCAAAGGAGTGAGGACTCCTGTCTGTCCAGGGACTGAACTGGCCCAGCTAGATATAGCGCTGGGCCTGGCTGCAATGCCCTTTGTCTGCAACCAGGGCCGTGCAATTGTGAGTCTGATAGACGGCCCAGGTTGCAGGAACAAGTCCTGCTCCTCTGGTCCTAGGCCAAAAACGGCCAGGCAGGCCCTTACCGGATGTCCAGGCTCTCCTGCTGATGCAGCAGGAGAAGGCCACTCCGGACGACTCAGTCCACTCCGGACGATTCAGTCCAATCGGGACGACTCCGAACCTGGCCAACAATGGCCCAGTCGCGAACCTGGCCTCTTAGAGGGCCCCAAACGTGGTCCTGGTCCAAACAGACACTGGTCTGTTCGGACATACTGCAAAGTCCGAAACGACGCCCTGAAACAGACAAAAATAGAACAGACCGAAAAAAGGGTCAGCATAAATAAAATAAATAAATAAATGAATGCTGCCTCAAAAATTGGTCCTGCACATGCCTGGCCTTCCTGAGATGGCCGTGGGCCTCCAGGTCGTGCTCGAAAATAGGTGCATGGCCTGGGGGCCCTCCACAACCGTCGGGGCCCGTGTGCAGGGCTCAGCATGCAACACTCGTGCAGGGCTCAGTATGCAACACTCGTCTGTTGTGTCGCGCCGTTCAGTTACTTGTTGGCAGCACCTTCTCCAGAAATTCGAAATTGGAGTAACACCAAGTAACAGATTCTATTGATCCGGGCGTCCCGCCGGTACGATCCTGCCGGTGTTATGAACATGATTGTCCGTTGAAATTTTATCAATGCTCACTCACAGGGACTCCTGTACACGCCCATACATGCACAAAAGGAAGGGGAGAGGTAGTGGAGTATCACACCGCCCAACAGAAAGAACGCAGTGGAAGACTCAGAGGAGCGAAGTGACAGAATACACAACCCAGTGAATTCTCTCCACACAAATCCCAACAATCATTCATAGAAGACAACCGAGTGATCACAGCCAGAAATCAATGAAGAGATGACAACTCAAACACAGTATTACAACTGTTTATTAAACCCAGAGCATCGTTTTCACTGAGTAACCTCAGAACCCTGTTGCGCTATCCTCAGAGGGGTAGCGCCTCAACCCCACACACACCGAACAACTAAAAATAGCCCAGAACCCCAGGTAACACCCATCGCCACCCTGACATCCAACTCAGTGGCCTGCGCCAAGATGAAACAGGCTCCCAGAGCCAATCACCACTCAGATGATGAGGAAGAAGCTCAGCGCCAACAGTCCCTGATGAAGATGAAGTCCAGACGATGATAATCTCTGAGAAGATGCAGCTATGGCTGCATAGCCACTGGGACCCTACTCCTGAGGAGGGTCAGCAGTGCACCACGTGCTCAACGCATCAGACCTCTGATAGCCCATACCGCTTTGACCCTAGTCTGGTCAGCGCTCCGAAGGTCTGGCTATGTTCGCCGTCTCCACCACCGGAATCAGCAACCACGACCTGATACCGTGTGCACAACAACTTCCACCACGAAGTGTCAACTGCCAAAAGCCCTAGACCGATGTCCCCATCCTATCTATACCCTAAACTAGCCTAGACACGACCTAGACCGGATTGACTGACCGACCGGTACCATTTCTGTTTCGGCCTCTCCGGCCTCTCCCTACCCGGCTATAGGCTATAGGACCGTCTATCAGCGTAGGCTCATTAGGCCTGTCTGTCCTAGGGGTAGCCTGGGTCTGCTATTCGCAGTTAGGGTAGCTGAAGGAAATTCGAGTTAGTAGTGGGCCCATATTTCCTATATTTACAAATATGTCCCTCACAAATTTTCCTTACAGGTAGGTCTCTCGGTTAGCCCTCAGCCAAACAAAATTACGAATCTATCCCTACCTATGTTACAGCCTCGTCAGAGAGAGGCTACAGGCAACCTGGAACCAGCAAGTCATTGCACCGGTGTGCTACGGAGAAGCCAGGTGACGGCGACGTAGCGGGCGAAAGCACGAGGCGAGGGATGGCAGGGCGTGGCGACGAGCGGCGATGGGGAGCAACAACGAGCAGCGAGGCGGGGGGGAAGAGGGCGGGGCTGATGGTGACAAGGTGTGATGGAGGATGATGAGGCAGGCAGGGGGTAGGGGGGTTTGGAGGCGCCTCGTGGGGCTCGCGACTCGTCAATATGGTGTGGGAGTAATCAGGTGAAGCGGCGGGCGAAAGTGTGAGGCGAGTGATGGCAGGGAGTGGCAGCTCTTGGTGAAGATTCTAACGGCGGGCTACGAGAGATGGCGGAACGAGTAGGTTTCCGCCACCATGGATGTTCTTTCTCCCTCCGGACTGCCAACAAGGGGTCGTCGGCAGGCTCGGCGGTTTGGGCTCGCTACGTGGCTGTGCTGTGGTAAGTGTTGGCCACGGTCCAACAATCTTCATCGTTCAACTTTTTGGTTAGATGTGATGCAGGCCACGAGCAGCTGAGATGCTTTTGAAGCTGATGAAGGAGGAGGTGGAGGTTGGGAGAGAGAGAGGACATGACATGTGCGGGGGGTGAGAATTAGGGTTGGTAAGGAATTATGTAGATTATCCGCTGTTTTTCCTAAGTGACAAGACTGATGGTTGAGGTGCTAATTTCCTTTTTATTACAAGCCTATAAAATCCCTACTGAGTGCTTATTTTTCTATCGTAAAACATGATCTGGATTTTTCTGACGATGAAGCATTTTGATGCTGGCGTGGTCGGGAAATTTTTTCAAAGGTTGTTTTTGAATGTTCGTTTTTATGATTGTACTTTGTTTAAAATCTGATTCATGAGATCTTAGGTGTTTTCTGGATGTAATTGATCCCTAATCTGAATTTCGTTTTTTTTGTTCTGAGCAAGATCCCTAATCTGAAACAAACTTCGATTGTCTCTGAATGATTCATGTAATTGGTTGATCTGGGATTTTTTTTCTGAGTAGGATTTCTAATATGAAATTCGTATTTTCTGTGCAAGATTCCTAATCTGAAATTCGTAAATCAGAGCTTAGCTCTGATTCCAATGAAAGATTACCAAGTGTGATTTATAATTTTCTCAAAGTGGGATTGATGTCTTACGTTTATTCAACCCTGATCCAATTCTAAATCCGATGTATTCTCCTATATTAGTACGCTCAAGCTTGGGCTCTTATTCCTTGAATTCGATATTTGATCTCATCTGTTTGAGGGATTTCAAAAATAGGTCACAATTGAAGTCTCATGCTGTTTGCGCTGTTTGCGGGCCAGGTGTTTTGAGGATGTGTGGTACTTGGGTTGGGGGAGATGGTTTATGGTTGATGGAATTGCGTCCTGCTGGTGAGGAGGGCTAGCTAGTGGGATTGGATTAGGGCATATCCGCAGCTGAGATGGTGGCTTAGCTGTTATAAGTCTTGCCGGAGTGAGGTAAAAGGATAGTGGGGTTGGTTTCACCTGATTTCTGCCTTTCCTCCTCTTGCGAACTATGGGTGGAGGAGGTCGGCTCGTCCGGAGGAATGTGTTGAGGAAGGTGTCCGTTGTGTGGTTGTGGCTGCTGTTCTCATCCCGCGAACTATGTGGTGGAGGAGGTCGGCTCGTCGGGGGATGAAAAAGAGTAGGGGGTTGGAGGGAAGAGGGAGGATGATTCCTTTGATTGTTGCTGGCTCGTTAAACCCATTCAAAGGTTATTTTGGGACTACTTCTATTCTTCTTCTTCGAACTATGTGGTGGAGGAGGTCGGCTCGTCGAAGGAAGATGAATAGTTGAAGTCTGTTTCCAACCATTATGGGATTGGGTTAGGTTGTTTGTCTACTGTTTTTATCTTCCGAGCTATGTGGTGGAGGAGGTCGGCTCGTCGGAAGATGACAAAGAGTAGGGGGTTTAAGGGAAGAGGGAGGATGGTTTCTGATGGTTTCTGATGAAGTGTAGTGCTGCGCTTATTGAGTGAGGGTAAGGATTGGTGAGTTCACCTGATTTCTGCTATTCCTCGTCTTGCGAACTATGGGTGGAGGAGGTCGACTCGTCGTGAGATGAGGAATAGTTGAGGAAGGTGTCCATTGTGTGGGTGCGACCGCTGTTCTCATCCCGCGAACTATGTGGTGGAGGAGGTTGGCTCGTCGGGGGATGAAGAGAGTAGGGGGTTGGAGGAATGAGGGTGGGTTTGAGTGGTCTTGAAAATGCTTTAGGATCCTGGGTACTTCTTACAACTCACTTTAGGCTTCTTTGATGCTGTTATATTCATGGATCTGCGGTTTTCCGATGCCAGAACGATGCTGGCCGGTGCTAGGGGGTTGCCCTGTAACCTGTTGATAGCAGGAGCGTGAGGCCTGGTAGAGAGATCCGGGGATGCCTTGGGGCGGGCATTCCAAGGGAAAACCAAGGGTTGTTGTCGGGACGGCGCTGGCCGGAGCTGGGGTGAGTCGTGTTGCCCTGTAACCTAGCAGGGTAGGGGCATGAGGCCTGGGAGAGCTCGGCAGGGAATAAGACAATGTTAGAGAATTTTAGAGGGCTTTGTTAAGGAGTCCAAGGTTCTGAGCATTCAATAGCCTAGCAATAGGCCAGCAATTATCTAAGTTTTTCAAAAATTTCCTGAACTTCTTTAATAGTTAAAAAAGTGTGTAAAAAAAAAAATCAAAGGGCGTCCCTGCTCAGTTAATCCCCTGGTTTCCGGTGCAGTCAATGCTGGCAGGGGGAGGTCTTCTTATTTTTTTCTCAAAAAAGAGGTGAGCGGGAGAAGTAGATGGTTGGATATCAAGCGTCCTACCAGTGAGGGGGCTAGCTCGTAGGACGGAAATAGGGTACAGCAGCAGCGGAGATGGTGGCTCTGCTGCAGTAAGTCTTGCCGGAGTGAGGTAAAGAGGATTGAGGGGGGGGTTCTGAGTCGTTTTCTGAACTTTGCTTATTTTTGAAGTTCTTCGTAGTAATTTGCTAAGTAGCTCAAATTTTCCTTAGCCAAAGCCGGGTAATGGCCCCGGTATCTCAAATTTTCAAACTTCTATGTAGATTTCCATATGGGACGCTGGGCCCGGTTCCCAGCACGTGCTGCTCCCCACGAATAGATTGGAGCCTTGTTCCCATATATATATAAAAAAAAGATTCTATTGATCCGCCAAAACCAACGCCTATAAAGTAGGGGCACAAACTGGTAGTCTATAACCAGGACTTTCCTTGGAACGGGAAGCCCAAAGGCGCTACCTGTTGACTTCGGCGCTTGCGGCTTCTTGTTGTTCTGTGACTGGTGTGGAATACCATAAGGTCACTCGTTGAAAGAAGTGAACATGTGGACTACTACCAGCATCGCAGGGCATTCTTGGTGAGCAGAGCAGCAGGTAATCTGTAAATGCCTAGCACAGTAGTGCATGCAATGTTTTTTTTTTTTTGTTTTGGCGTGCTGACACTGGGAGTGCATCCGAGATTGTCTCACTTTTTTTTTTGTTTTTTTAATGTCTCACTTGTTTGTATTGTGCAATACAGGACAAAGCGATAACGACCAAAGTCTAGCAACCTTTGCCTTTACTGGGGGAGTCCTTGGTTCACTTTCTAGTGTGTGTGTTTGTGGGTGGTGGGGGGGTGGTGGGTATGATAAGAGAGCAGGAGAGCAACTGGAACTGGAACTGGAACTGCAACTGGAACTGCAACTGGAACTGCAACTGGAACTGCAACTGGAACTGGAACTGCAACTCTCTTTGGTGGGAATCTTCACTGCACACTCGACTGATGGGTCCGTCGGTTTGGCTTGGCTATTCTTGGGTAAGTTCCATGACCTTCACCTCTGTTGCTCTCTCTATATCTATGTATCTACATATCTACGTGCGATATATCTACATATTCATATGTGAGAGGGTAATGTGATAATATATATGCAGGCATGTTGTCACATGACTCAAAAATACTTTGGCTTAGACCGTGTTAGGGGTGTCCATGTTGCTCTGTGCTTGTCATGATGCATCTGCGGACGGGTTCAAAGCGAGTGTGCTGCAGGTGGAACTCCCCTGCGTTTTGGGCGTTGTTGGGCTTGGGTGCTGTATGGACTCCCCGGCGGCATGTGGTGCAGGTGGAGCTCCTGGCTTGGGCCCTGTTGGGCTTGGGCCTTGTGCCGTGTGCCAATGGTGATATATATCTACCAGTGTGCTGAAGGTGGACTGGTAGCCTTCAGAGCACATGGGATCGGGTGAGGAGGCCAGGGTCCCGGTGGCACATTGGTGTTGTATGCTTATTGGGGGTTGCACGGATGCGTATGGGGATTTGTAGGCCTGTGTTTTTTTTTCCCTTTGGTAGCCGGGTAAAATGACTGGTATGTCTGTGCCTCTTTCAGAGCCCACGGTACCGGGTGAGGAGGCCAGGGTGCTTCGTACTATAGTGTCCCCCTGGTGATGATGCATGGGTATTGTATGCCTATAGGATGTGTTGTAGTGTATGTCTGATCCCCCTTGGTTCTTGGGTGAAATGAGGGTGCGGGCCAGGCAACAAAAATTGGATTGTGGTTGTCAGTCAATGCAGTGGTCAAGATGTTGTTGGCATCCTCTTGTGCCTTCAGGGACTGCCCTTAAGTGTGAGGGTGTCTGCTGCTCCCGTGTGTGTGTGTACCACTTTCTGTCATACGTGTGTGTGTGTGTGTGTGTACCACTTTCTGTCATATGTGTGTGTGTGTGTGTGTGTGTGTGTGTGTGTGTGTGTGTGTGTGTACTCCTTGGCAGTGCACCAGAACAAATATGTAT